GGATTCATATCAGTATATTCCCGGTTATAACACCTTATCGTCACGACAGTGACACGATATGATAGTGGCAGCTATCTGATGAGATACAAAAATTCGTAAAACATGATTGCAAACTAACAAATTGTCTACAAATATTCAATTTCATAAGCATCACTATAAAATTGAACTTAGAAATCCTAAACTTTTATGCAATAAATTATTTCAATAAATTAAATTATAAGAATTATAAAAAAATAACTCTTTGTTTCTAATTTCGTCGATTTAAATTACATATCGCAGATGACAATAAAAAAAGAAAAAGATTTATTTAAAAATATTGACTTACCGCAAATCCAAATACTATTTACTGTGCGACCGCGATTTTTGCGAGAATTTACATTTCACACGATATACGAGCAACGCCGTATCTCACTCAAGTGAGCGATTCTTGATCGAGCTCGCACTATGTGTCATCCTTTATAAAATGCGCGAGATTGTTTCATCGAATCACGAAGGAAGCGAAAAGACAAACTTCCATGACGTGATTTATTCGTGAAACTCGTATTGCTCGACTGCATTGAATTTTCATCTCGTAGTTCACCATGTGGAATATTCAAAAAGTTTTAGGAATTATTTCTACATGTTACTTTTGAAATAAAAATTCATTCTGCTATTTAATTACATTAAATTCGTGATGTTGAGCTTACAATATTAAACGTATTAAAATTATACATTAAGGCTCGGTTTTGTAATGACACGACATTTTGTAATGTAATTACGCTATAATTGCGCTCGTTTTACCGTTGTATTTTACAACTCGAACCCCTCGAAACTAAGAAACTCGAATTAATCCTTAACGACGACTTTAACCCGGAAGTGGTGGGCGTACGAACGAAGTTAAACCTAGCAGTACAAAGTAGAGAGAAACTTCACGTTATCGGGAACAATTTTTCAAGTAGCCGTATTAAATGCAAAAGCATCGTGTTTCGAGCATGTGACACTTATTGCAAGCCGTGGAAAATACGAAGATCGTGTATCGTGTCGGAGGAACACATAGATTAGCTGCAGATAAAAGTCAGCATTTGCAACTTGCTCGCGAATTGTGCTTGCTTTTAATCTTGTCCTCGATTCAACCGTTTCCTCTTCCTATATCGATCCTAGCATCGATCCTCCCCTTTTTCCACGTCTCGCTGCTGTGCTCGTATAAACGGATACCTCGAATACGTATCTCAGCAGCGGTAGGGGTGGAACTTTTTCTCGGGGATAGAGAAGGAGTTACGAGTTGTTTGCCGAAGCGCTGGCAAAGAAGTTTCCCCGAGTGGACGTGATTACGCGAGGGAAAACGAATAAGGAAGGGCTGGGAAATGGGCCGGACTGATTGCTAAAAATTACGGTGCGCACGCTTGCTTCTCTACACTCCAGAGATAAGCGCGGCTTTCGATCTAGCGTGAGATTGCGTCTCCTTGTTAGAATTCTAACCGGCTATGTATCTTTGTCCTCTTAAACATCCTTTTGATAATTGATATATATATATATATTGTTGATGCAAAGTTTAAAAGATTTATTTTGAAAAATGTACGTGTTGCGTTAATTACTACCATGACAGTTAACGTATCAAAAAATAAAAGGGAATATAAAACATCTTAAGAAAAGTCATTCACCAGTCGCAGCACATTCCTTTCACGATTCAAAACAATTTTCTCCGTGAAGTGAAAACCGAGGGGATGTTACTCGAAACGACCGTGACAAATGGATCAACCAGTACCATTCGAGAAACGTTAGAGAAAAAGAGACAAATGTAACCAGAATGACTAGCGACGTTTCTGTTATAAATGATTTACGATTCGAAACGAAGTGTCTGTTTATTTAACTGAGATTCTATACATTTTAAATTTGATCGAATTCAGGTACTCCCGAGTGATTGTCCAAGTGACATTGACAAACTTTACCACTTGTACAGTCTATTGTTCTGAATACCTTGCAGTAACTGTATATTATTTATTGTGATAATATATCCTGGGGTTACTTCACCTGATATCATGAAGATAATAAAGATCCTTAACCCCTTCGCCTATGATTTTTTCGATAGTTGCGTCAGATAGAGCTAATTATTTATTGTTTAATTTTGAAACAAATAAAAAAAAATGAAATATCATGCATATATAACATTCAACGATCTTTGACTGAGCAAATTATAATTAGAATTAAATTCAAAGTTCAATCATACTAAAAATACCAACCAACTTTAACACATTTGAACTGTAAATTGCGTCACAAGTGTGACACGATGTTGTAGGGTAAGAGGTTAAATAAGAATATAGATTACCTTTTGAACCATATCATCTCTCTGGAATATTGAATATTGTACAGCTGGGTCTGAAAATGTTATCTGTAACAAATCGAACCCCGAAAGCCTGCAAACTGTAACGATAAAGATGCCGAACAATTCGATCCGTTGATTGTCTCTCGTGTCTCGATCTGCGACGAAGACTCGTAGAACGAAGAGTTACGCGACGGAAACGTGACTTTTCGACGCGGCAAGCGTGCTACACGTACCCCTAGAGAATGTCTCGAGAACCGAGATTCATGCTCGACGAAATGGTCCCAGGTATCATAAACAAAAGTATCGATGCGACGTTGTCTCGTTGTCGACAGGTTGAATCCCCGACGGAATACGTCAGACAAAGATGCGTTCGAATACGTAGAGAATCAAGCACAGGGAGATGATGTTAGTCGTCGTTCGAAAGCTCGTTTTATCGAAGTCTCCCATAAGAAATTGCCGTTTGGTTATCGCACGCGAAATATACGTTTCACTCGCGAATCGAACGTTCAATATCATATTTTACTGGGAGGGGTGAGTAAAAAGGGTAAAGAACCGGTAGAGCGACACGAGCGAAATTTTCAACGCGTATCATTGCAATGTATAAATATTTTATTGTTATACCCGGCTCTCGTTTCAGTTGCTGTATTAAATTTCGCTTTTACGAGTTTATATATAATGTAAAATTGGTCAGAGTTTATAGTAGCTTTTTTCGATCTGATCCAGGGTATAGATATACGTAGATCGATGTGCCGTTGGCAGTGAGAAAAATATCGGTCGATGCTCGATCGACAAATCCTGACTGACCGTTAATCGTGGAAAATATAATTCGGAACAAAAGGAAGTGGAATACATATTAGTACACGGTTGCGAGAAAGATTCGTAACGAATTGAATGTTTTCAAGGCAAAACTAGCAGGATTTATCGCACAATTTTAAGGGATGAATAAATTCGAATACCGGTTCTTGAGATATCTAATCAATTCGGAATCGAGCTTTCGAAATCAAGAAAAGAGGAATAAAAAAACGTGTACCATTGCGTTGTTCACGAAATAGAAAACGTCCCGAGGGCTTGAAAGGGAAGCCGTTTCCGGTGACCCTGTTTCAAACCCTTTTCAGACGCATGAGTATACGGTGAAACGAAACTGGAATACGGTAGCGCGGAACTACGTCATCGGCCAAATGGGTTTCGAGAGCTTCCACGGAAAAACGTATGGCTATGTGAAATTGACGTTATGGCCGGATGATGGAGTCCATCTAATCGCGATTATTTCGTAGCAGTACCGTACGTATCGACCTTCTAGCCAGTCGATAGCCCGAGCTAATTGCGATTATTTCGTACCGCTACCGATCATCGACGTCACGGTTAGTTGATAGCCTCAGCTAATAGCGATTACCTACCACCATACGTGCTGCTATCGATCGCAATTCGTTATGATTCCCTGCCACGAAACACACTCGTTGTTTTCCGACGTGAATTACTGCTGAAATCCGGTTAAAGGACCCGAAGATATCGAGTTTAACGATATTTCTCGTTACACCCACTTGTCACGACACGAGAAACAATAAAATTGACAGCAACTGAACATTCTGTTTGAAATATAGCTTCTGAAAGATGTACACAATGGTAGTTCTTTTAAACATTCCATCAGTATTAACTTATCCTGTCTATAGAGATTTTTTCAACAGAAAATGGATTCGAATGTTTGTTTCAAGTATCTAGAATTTGCTTAATAAATGTACTATCAGAAATACAGCAAAGCAGAAAACTCAGATTGCTTCGGAGTATACACATGTTAAAGTCGTTCATTCAAAGACACGAAACGTCTATTTTCAGAAGAGAAAGAGGAAAGGAAAGGATCGTTAAGGGTTGATTACGTTACCCACGACATGTAGGCGCACACGTGGCCGGGGCAAGACCAAAATTACTGGGCAAGCTGCGGTGAACCGCGGTGCATTCTCATTCACACTCGCATTCAGATTCATAACTGCCGCTAGTTTCAACGCTAAATGGAGCCGTGTAACGAATGGTGGAATTACTGGAAAGTGGTATTGTATTGGCTATCGGTCGATCCAAGTTTCCAAGGAACGATACTTGTATTTTTAGTGGAAATCGATAGGTACTTCTCTAGAGAATAGAAATTTACGCGAGAAGAATATATTCCCTTGGATTATTCGCGTTCGAAATAGAAGCCAAAGAAGCTTCTTCCTTGTAATTGAATATCGATTGAAATTTTGCTGGAATTTTGCAGTCTATCAGTTCCAAGTGTATTCTAAACATTCTACGGTAAATTTGGAATATTTCTTAAATAATAAACCGATCTCTATCACCTAACGCTCGGAATGTTCAAAGGATTTCTAAGTATAGAAACCTCGGACGATCCAATTTCCTCACCGATATAGAGCGCAAGCCTCATAAAAGGCTCCCTTCAAAAACACCACTGCACTCGACTAAACGAGTCACAAAACTCATCTCCCCGAGCGTGTATACAAAACAGCGTGCACCGTGCATCTGGAACGTAAAACCAACCTTCGAAGTCGGTAATACGTTGGCTCTTTAGCTGACTGGTTATTACACGGAGGAACGAAATTGGTATCGACGGGGTGCAGTAAGTTGGCCGGATGAATCGGCGTGTGTTCGAAGGCGAACAATGGCGAGACGAGGATTCAATTTTACGCGGCGTTAGAATGGATTTACTCACGTTCGTCGAGATTTCCTTGGCGGCGCGTCGGTGCCTCGTCACTAGGTCCGTGGATCGATCGCCGAAGCATCAATGTGTCGCTGCTGATCGCTGACTCGAAGATTCCACCTTCTCGTAACCAACCACGGTCCCCGGGTATCCGCGGCACTGAAACAGCCGAGATGGATGGTTCTTCATTAAATCGCCAGCCTCGGTGACGTGTTTACAGAGTGATCGATATCGGTACCCGCGGTAGCAGCCATCGAAACAACACTTTTCCTGACGCGACGAGGCGTTATTAAATTCCTGATACAACCGGGATCCTGTTGCCCGAGCGAATGATAATTTACACGAGCCGTACATTTTTCAACACTGGCTTTAATTGCAGCGCTTGCGATATTAATCGAGTTCAGTTAATTTCTTGCGAATTGTAAATTGCTTTCTATTGTTCGCGCACTGAGGATTGATGGAAGAACGATATATTTGCGTTTCGAAAGACCCCGTTTACAATTCGTGTGCTGCCTCGAGGAAGGCTCGAGAACGAATGAAAGGACGGTCGTACTTGGTTGCGTTTACCGCTGCTGGCCGATGATTCCAATGTTTATGCAAAGGGATTATCTCTCCCTCGAACGCGGTACCGTCTCTACCGGTATCGTCGTTACCCTAGCGGCCACGGATAAACTATAGAATTTTTTAAACCGTGTTACGAGTCTATGGATCAAAATAATTATTATATTTGATTTCGTGAGTAATAACCTGAACGAAAGTGACGATTTTAAATCTTGCTCGATATGAGCTGGATTCACAGTTAATTTCATTTCAATTAGTAATAAAATGATTAATACCATTCAAGAATAACACGTTAGACGATTAAACACAGTTACACGGTTCTCGGAATATCCAATTCACTAATTGTGTCAACACGCCTGTGGACATAGTTGGCCATGTAAACAGGCGTGTAAACACTTAGAGCTTTGAATAATGTAAATTCATATATTTAAAGTGTCGCGAGAAACAGGAGTTACCGAAAACAGTTTGATAAGTTCAGATTATTAAGCATTTTTCGACAACTTGATTCGAATAGCACTAGGTCTACAAAAGAAAGGTTGAGTGGATGCGACAAAACGGAGTGAGAGGGTTCAATAGAGCAGCGATTGCGAGTAAATCGATATACACAGTCGAATGAATGAAAAGCTGTCCATAAAGGAAGATTGATTTACAGCATTTCCATGCAATCCATGCATTCTATCGCAGAAAAAGTTATTCCACTTTAAACGTAATTCTATCTCGATGTAATTCATTTTAAGAACGAAACTTGGCACGTTTCCAATCTCATTTCGAAAGCAGAATCGAATCATAAATGTAAAACATCATCGACGAAAATCGAGAGTACGTGGTATGGTTAGGTTACAGACAATTTCGAAACAGTTTCGCGACATCACCAGCTCGAATCCTGACCCTGTGAATATTCTGAATCTCCTTGCACGTTCGCCATACGCGCTTCTGAAGCGAATGGAACTCCCTCCCGCTTCTTTACGGTCGTTTCAATTCATTCGCGGCTTCTGGTAGCTGATACTACGAGAGAGAAGAAGCAAAGACAAAGAAAGATAAGGAGAAACATACGCACAGTTTCGTGCAACGATGAGTTTGTTCGGTAAGAAATAGCGCGAGGTAGAGAAATCTCTAATGGCTCTTCTGTTTCTCTTAGCAAGGGAAGATATCGTTGCGCTCGACTGTACAATTATACCCCGGCTGTGTTCTCGATGACAAGGGACGCGAGGGTAAGGTTAGATGGAACCGCGGTTACGTGTACGCGAAAAATACTCGATGACAAGGGACACACGAAGGTAAGGTTGGATGGAACCGTACTTAGGTGTACGCGAAACCGTACTTATAGCCGGTGTATGCGCGGCTGTTGTTATCTAAATGCGCGCGAGGGAAAGAGGGACCAGCTTAAAAGGGTGGTTCATTGGCGTCGCGAAGGTGACGTCGCGTACGAACTCGCACACATATACCGCTCATCTCTACAACGAACGCGTTAGCGATATATTCAGCTTCGTGTATATTCGAAAGTTATGCACCACGTTCTCTGGAGTACAACCCTTTTCTCTTGCACGCTACCACTCTCATTCTTCGACACTTTTTTAACGCAACCCTCCTCGTCCCTTCTCGAGCCATCTTGCTCTTTCCCTGATTGTACGCCGATTCGAGGCTAGAAAGATTCGTGGACGAGCGCGTCGCGGGATCACAATGGAACACTGAGAGACAATCGACGATTCAACGGGGAATACGTCGAATGGAAACGTTTTAGTCAGATGGTCAAATTAGTCTGAATTGTGATGAAGCCAATGAGACAGCAGTGTGGTCAACGGTTACGCCTGTTCTTTCACATGTACAAATTTTTACGCTTGAAAATTGTGAGCTTTAAAAATGTAGAGGATCATTTAATGGGATTTAATTATTCATAGCAGTACACGTTCTGTCGCATGTGTGCTTAACGTGAAATTATCTTACAATATTTTCCACTCTTTTCCGCGGGAAAGTTTAATGCAAACGATATCAGGGACACAAGGGAGTCGAAAAGTTTCAGACCCGAAGCGTCACGTTGCGCGAACCATTATAATTAGTGGCTAAAGCTAGTTAATTTCGAATGAACTTGTTTGAACTTCCTCGAAGTTTCCTCTCCTAGTTTCTGTCCATTATATTTTACGCGTAGCAATTTTTTCGCCGTGCTAAACTTTTCACGATTTTACTAATATTTTACCTGTCACCCACTTGTTTCGAGTGAAATTTAACGTTTCTGCCACTTGCAAACTTTTCCGAATGAAATCATCATTGATACATGTATTTATTCATTTTTTTTTTTTTTTTCAATTCCACGCATGCACTTTTATATTTTTAAACAAATTTTCCTTCATATTTTTTTTAAACATTCTACAAAAATAATCGTTTCAAGATCCTTTTATGCTAGTTTTTCACTTTTCGAACAAAAATCACGAAAATATAAAACTTGAGCCAAGATAATTACCGATAAATGAGATTTTTCGTTAGAGATTGATTAAAAAGTCGGCATGGCGGGCCTCAAAGAATGCCACGAAGGATATAAACGTAGCGAAGGAAAGTTCCGAATGCAAGGACGAACAAAAAGGCTCTCACAGGATAGGAACAATCAACAAAAGAAATCGGTCGAGTGACTGGCTATTAATTCAGCTTCACTGAGTCAGAAAAGTGGTCTTCCTGCGGTGCAGATGTTGAAACTTTTCAACCAATCGATGATGCTTCTCATCGCCGTGGATCTACCAACTATGGATCACCGTTGACCCGAATAAACTTTCATTTTTCATTCGTTCCTTCAATTTCGAGGAAAAGATCGGCGAATCGAGAAGTAATTAAGAATAATTCCTTTCGTAGCATTTTATTAAGTCGAACATCTTTTGTCTACAGGAAGTAGGAATTGCCATAAAGATATTCGATTATCCTATTTTAATTACACGTTCGTTTTTGAGTATAGAAAACGTGTATCTTCGAATGAAATATTTTTCGTAGCAATATCTTTTCGATGAACAAAAAAGGAAAACTTGAATCCATTCATGACCACAGGATCACAGGTGCAATAATACAGAGCCATTTATTTCTCGATTGTTCGACAATAATCGGAACAGACAAAAACGGCAACACCTTTGGCTATTTATCACGGAACAACGAGTGCTCCCTGGTAATTCATTCTTTCGCCAATCGATGTGGCCAGATTTTTCCGATCCGTGGCTCGTAATTCAAAAACGAACGAACTAGTTCTGGAACAACAGCATCCACTCTCCTACCAGAGAATTTCGCGATTTTACAGACAGGATTACAGAAGAATTACAAGAGAAACGTGTTAACGTTGATACACGAGCACTGCAACTGCAGCAGACCATTATGTTTAAGAAAAGAAATGAAAAATTCACGGCTGGATCACGCCAGTTTCCTTTAATTTCCTCCAACCGCAAACAAATATCCAGCTTGCGCTTGAAAGTTTCAAAGAACCGGATTTTACAGAGGGTGTAACGTTATCTGACGTTGCTAAAACTGCTCCGCGAGAAAGAATTCCAACACCCACGACGTTCGGCCATTCTTGTGCTTATCAGTAATTCTTTCCCTTAAACCGTTCCTCCCTTATCCGAATCGTATACACTCAAGATATGTTTCGTGTCGCTGATAGCAACAATGTCGGTTCCGTTCGTCGCTCGTTTCACCCTCGGTGAACCTTCATTGGATCGGAGAGAATACCACTTTCCTATTTCTTCCCTAATAAGTGTCCCTGGCAAGGCTCCCATCCGAATAACAACGAGCATATCAGGGGTAGCGAAGCATACAGAAAGTTATCTTGTCTAACACCGTGTATAGGGTGGAACGTTACCTTATGGATCATATAATTCTTTGTGGAACTGTATTTAACACGGTCGGGGGTCTCCGTTATTTCGGCTACCACTACGTACAATACACGCATGCTCAGCAAGATTATCAGCACGGTGTCTCGCGTGACGTTCCTCCACTTCCGCTCTCTGGTCGAGGTCGTTCGAATATCGAACCACGATAGTGACCTCTTTACCGGCGAGGGCCAACAGAATCGGTGTATTAGGGTCAACGGGAAAGAACGAAGGGCGTTGCATAGAAAGCGATCAACTGCAAGCTTCGCGATAACCGGCGATACCGTGGTTGAATTTAACGCGAAGAACCGGAACGAGAAGGTAGATTCGTAGTCGGGATAAAGATATCGGATTAAAGCGGCTACGGGGAAAATAAAGAGAAATGAGTTAGCGAGATTTTATGGGGCCGTACTTGTTGCACGATGGAGAACCGGAGTCGTAAGTTGCATCGACGATAAGTACTTCGAGGAGTTAAACGTTACCCGTGTTCTCGTGTTGAAGGATAGGAACAAAGACGTTATGCGGTGCATTGATTATTCTGTTACCTTGATTCCTGAACAACGGTAGTGGAACGGTTAATTAGTTATATTAAGAAGAACTTTTGATTTAACTTTAGGACGATGTATTATATTATTAACTCAGACTTTATTATTCTTGCTGGTTGAATTTTTAGTACAGATAATGTATAGTTATGTAGATTAAACAGACGGTAAAGATCAATTAGAAACCTTTGACTAGATGATTTATTACCCCGGGAGT